CATATTTCCATCTCCTGCTTCTTATATGCATATGTACGCGTACACATTTCTGATTTCCCATGGGTTCCAGCAGGAGCAATAAACATTAATTAGGCATGCAAAATAATACTGTGAAGGACATGATAATGTAAAATCTGGACAAAAGCTTGATGAGATCAGTGGAAATGATACTGATTGACTTCGGAAAAGTTGGGGACAAAATAGACATACGATCAATGAAGGTAATACCATCATGGTAAGAAAAGTCACATTTGCAATATGGTTCTGAAGCAATGAATATGGATTACGTAGCAGGACACATGTTATCATCACTGGCAAGAAGTACTCAATAAAATCGACATGCATTCCAACAGACAATATGACAGTCAAATTACAGACACGTCACTCCATGTTTTGGACCACCATACACAGTACACAGGATTCCCATGCATGCAACGCATTACATCAAAGACAGGGTGCAAAACCCAGCAAGGAAGTCATGATTAAGCCACAGAATGGAGTTTAGATGCAATGAACTTAAGTTCTTTTGACTTTAGTTGCAGACAGTTTAGTCATGACAAACCTTTGCTGGATCATTACTTAAACATATTAAAGGCTTGGAAAGTTTTGTATAAATTGGGCATTTTCACAGGCCCTGCCAATTCCATCATTGTGTCATCTGTGAATTATTGGTTTGTGCCTTTGAGCTGAGGAACTGCTTTTCAGACGCTGCTGTACTTAACCTCCCTCTCCTCTTGCCTGCATTTGTGAAATGGAGACAAAGTGGGATCGATCTTGAAACATAACATCTTGATTCCAGTGAGAATCGGATTATGGAAAATGTCACTTCTTGTTGGATAGGTCAGTGTCTGATTTTCTGATAAGTCAACAACATAGCACTCATTTCACCATTGGTTTTTGGCTTTTGCAAAGAGGAAGACTTAACAGGAACAGAAGACTTTGTATATCCATGGGAAGTTGAAAAATGTATAATTATGAGGCTCTTTCAACAACTTGGTATTTTAGAATACAAAGTTGTTGAAAGGGTCTCATAATTATACATGTATTTTAGAATACAAAGTTGGCACATTTGTTATCTGTCAGCTTTCTACTACTAACATTCTTCAATTGGATTAGAACATGGATAGGCAAAACATGGATCTCCAGAGGTTTTAGACTTCAATTCCCAGCATTCCTGGTTATCGGCTATGCTGGCAGGGGTTTCTGGGATTTGGAGTCCAAAATGTCTAGAAACCCCCCTTTTACCCACTTCTCATTTAGAATGTTGATATCCTTTATTTCCAACGTTCCAATTTAGTGCGCCTCCATCATCATGTCTAGAGTTGAAGGTCATACTCCTATGCTTTGAAAGGAATAGGAGGAGGTATTTTGGGACAAAGGCTCCTATTGAAAAAGAACAATCCAGTGACTGACCATTCCGTAAAGGCTTCTGCTCCTGAATGGTCCAAGAGGATGCTGGGCCCTTGTCAAAATATGATTGCAGAGAATGGGGATGTGCGTGATGAGGTCCGTTCGAAATTGGCATTGATACCCTAAGGATGCAACGTTATGCTAGTTTATATTTTATTTGTTCATTTATGCATTATTTATTTAATTTCTATACCACCCAATAGCCAAAAGGGCAGTAGAGAAAAATAGGAGCCAGCAGAGAAAAAGCCATAACTAACCTAAGTCCCTTTGATTTCCGTAGTTCTGCTCTGATTAAACCTTGACCTAGTCTCAAAAGCTTTTAGCCCAGAGAGCTTCAGCTACTAGGCAGTATAGAGATATATTGTGGTGGTGGTGTGATGCAGCTTCAATTTGTTCGATAAGTGCTGTGTGTTGACACAATTTCCCAGTGTAATCCTGCGGACAGCCTTCCCTGGACAACTTACACCGAACTCAACCAGGTGCCCATTTCTAATGCTGCACGTGATAATCAAATAGCACCCAAGCATGGGAGAGCTGCCACTGGTCGCTTCAGGTATTGTGCACCCTTGTTAGACTGTCATCCAAAAAGCCGCTCCGCCTGCCTGCCTGCAGGGCGTGGGATTGTGCATTGTAGGTCAAACAGTTTGGGGCCTGCAGTTGGCGCTGGGTTATCTGGGGATGAGCCGCTCATGGCCCTTCTGATCCCATCAGCTGCAGCCCACATAGCCAGTGATGAGGAATCATGGGACCCAAAGCACCTGGCGGGCCATCGCTTAACCAGTTCTGCACTGGAGAACACCCTGGGAACTCACCTGCCCGGGTCTCCAGTTATGATGGAGTAATTATCTGCCATTCCCAGGGTCAGCCTTGTGCATCTTGCTTGCTCTTGGCTGGAGCAGGGAAGCTCTACCTTATCACTCTCCCCACACTGGTTACTGGGTTGCTCCTGGGCCTGGCTTAAGGCACGGGCTCTGACATCTAAAGCCCGACATTGCTTGGCTGTTCTCCTTTTCGACGACTTGCTTCAACCTTTGAGGCCATGCGGATTCCTGCACTGCATGGCAGACAAACGGCGGGAGCAAGGCCTCTCCACCTGGATGCCGGATCTATGAGATGCCTTTTCCAGAAAGGCCCTCCCGATTCCAGCACAAGGCACACCTGCCAGAGCGGCCCTTGACAGGCTGCCGGGGATTTTCTTCCCTCGCCCTCAGCTCAAGGTTGGTGTTTTCTTTCCAGTGGTTGAATTGTACAGTTGTTCATTCCACTGTCATGTTGTTGAACAGTGGGCTGCAAGCAGTGGCAGCATTCCCATGCGAGATGGAGCACCCAGCCTCCCCCACCTGCTGCTACCCTTTGTGCCAAGTCCCAGCCCTCACAAGCAGCTTTCTGGGGTGTGGGGAACGTTGCAGCAGATGGCTTAGAGCCGTCAAACCTGGGTGCTCTGCACTGCACCAGGAGAAGAGCGTTCCAACCT